TGTTGTCAAATGTAGCAACAGTTTTCTACTCAAATGACTAATTACACCCTCAGTTAAACTGCTGTATAATTTCCACTGAACTGAAAATATAGTTCCACTGTAGACCAAGTGCTGTATGGAACTCCTCTTTTCACTTCAGAAAACCAATGGCAAAGTTGTTCCTAAGGGAACGGAATACAAATAATAGAAACCAAATACACTATAACAACCCACTTTGCTATTACTGACAGTATTTTCCTTTGTTTCCCAGAAGTACGCTTTATTCTATGAGGGGGGAAAAGGTAACATGTAAGTGCAGCAAAACACTGCCATAAAAACAGAGCTACTTTCCTTCCCCCCCTCCCCCATTTTCTTATAGGAGGTGGAGATAGAATCCTATTTCAGCTTCTGCTAGGAAAGAGATCCCTAGATCCATCAGTGGTTGTGATTTAATTGATCAAAGGGAGTAATTAGAACTGGTATAACTTTGAAACTTTTTTTTTTTAAAAAGCATTCTAATGCTCCCTGCAAGTCCCCAAAAGAGCCCTCAAATCTTTTGAAATGTCTTTATGGTTAAGCTTGTTCTGTTTGCAGACATATCCTTTCTTGAACATCATCCTACCAAGAAAGAGGAGCCAATCTGGAAACGTACTTATGTGCATTCTTTAAACACTCCAGAAATTACAGTGTTTAGTACTGACTCCAGAATTCAAACCCAAATCAGAACAGTGTTTTTCTCAAATGACTTACAGTATCTCTTAGCAGTAAAGGGATTTGGAAATGTGGCTATGGAAGTCATTATTCAGTTCCCCTGATCCCCCAAATCCATGAGTCTGTACAATATAGTAGGCCAGAGAGGAGACTCTAATAATGACTAGAGAGAGGGTGAGAGCCCCAATTGATCGCCAGTGGGTGCAGGAATCTCTCCTCCCACCTGTAATTCTCCTATGTACACCTTTTAATTTACACTATACCTAGGAACCAGAATTAGCCCTAGTTTTGAAACTGTAACTCTACAAAGCAATTTGGGAAGTAGTTTGTATGAATACTAATCCAAAAGGTACATTGAGTTCATAATTTTCAGGTTCCAATGTGTTCTAGCAATCACCCTTTGGGAGAAAAAGGAATCATCCATCTGCCCTGCCCCCGTTACTCTCTTATTTGCACCCCATATGTCCCGGCAACCACTTCAGGTTCCCTCCTCTCTCCCCACGTTTCCTTGTATAGTTCACGAACCATAGAGAGGATGAGCGGGACAGAGCGGCCTGACTTGGCTTCTTGTGGCCTTAACTACAATGGAGGATGGCGGCCATCATTATTAGGGGCAGCCTCGCTGCAATCAGCAGAGTTTAGGGAATTGGCGGCCATCTTGACTGAAGCTTCAGTCCCATCGAAAGTAACAGAGGGCGGCCATCTTGGCTACGGGCAGCGCCTTGCGAAAGTAACGGGATGAGGTGCCCATTTTGTCTAAGGGCAACCATTCCCGGGAAAGCCGCCACATACCAGGAGTCGATTAAAAAAAAAAAGGCCCCTATCGCGAGAGTTGGAGGCCGGCCTCTAGCGGGAGGGCGGAGGTGTCTGTGAATCTGTTAGCGCTGCTCCCGCCTCCAGGGCGGCATCCGCCCGCTGCCTGCGCCGCGGGACTTGGGGGCAGCTGCTGAGCTCCAGCTACAGCCGGCCCCGCAGCGCGCCAGGCCCTGAGCATGGGGGTGGGTAAGGGGGGCGCGGCGCTGCCAGTGCTGGGGGAGGGGGAGGGGAGGCCTTGGCTGTAACACACTGACTCTCTCCCCCGCCCCCTGCTTTACAGAAGATCGGGCTGCAGCTGAAAGCCACTCTGGAAAATGTTACAAACCTCAGGCCGGTGGGGGAAGATTTTCGCTGGTACCTGAAGGTATGGCGGGCCAGGGGAGGTGCAGCGCCGCGCACCCTGCCACCCCTTCGCAGGGCTAGGCAAACACAATGAAACGCAATGTACTTTGAAAGCCCCAGTCGTTTGTTTTTTTTTTACAATACAAGCCTGTAGTTCTAACTAGAATACAGTACAAAATAGCATGCAGTAAAAACGATATAAAAGTATCAGACTGAAAACCAGTGATTATCGAAATGGAGGCCTGGATGGGACCTCGAGGGGTCCTCTAGCCTCCCCACCACTGAAACGTGTGTAAATTTGCATCAGCAGGGGGTGGGACTAGGGGACCCCTCAGCCCTGCATTTCTATGATTTTGAGTTGCATGGTGTTGTATCACAGGCTTCTTTTGCATGATATTTTGCATTCCATCCTACAGTGGTTTGTATTGCAGGCTTCCATTACACGAAGTATTGGTATCTAATGGAATCCTGCAATGCAAACCACTGGAGAATGTAAAAAGCAACAGAGGGTCCTGTGGCACCTTTGAGACTAACAGAAGTACTGGGAGCATAAGCTTTCGTGGGTAAGAACCTCACTTCTCTTGCATCTGAAGAAGTGAGGTTCTTACCCACGAAAGCTTATGCTCCCAGTACTTCTGTTAGTCTCAAAGGTGCCACAGGACCCTCCGTTGCTTTTTACAGATTCAGACTAACACGGCTACCCCTCTGACACTGGAGAATGGTTTCTATACTACGATCATCATTGTGGTATTTCATTGCAATCTAAGGGTACGTCTACACTACCCTCTGGATCGGCGGGTAGTGACCGATCTATTGGGGCTCGATTTATCGCATAGATGCAATAAATCGATCCCCGATTGCTCTCCCGTCGACTGCTGAACTCCAGCTCGGAGAGAGGCAGAAGCAAAGTCGACGGGGGAGCTGCGGCGTGCCGTGAGGACGCAAAGTAAGTAATTTTAATTTGATCTAAGATAAGATCTAAGATAAGTTGCGTATCTTAGATCAATCCCCTCCCCCCAGTGTAGACCAGGCCTAAGATGTAGTTTTGCCAGTATCCAGTTGGTTATATACACAATGTTAGTGGTGGTATGGCACATTTCAAGCATGGTTCATTGTGTAATCTAAATAAAAGTAAGATGAATATATGTGATCCGAAAGTTGTGCAGGTTTTTGTTTGTTTGTTAAATTTAAGCACGTTTTGGAAGTTGAGTAACTGTTAAATGTATGTATGTTTGCATTAAAAGATCAGTTACGATGAAGTAAAATCATGGCTATTCCTCAATCCATATAATATCCACCACCCTCTCTTTTGTGGTTATGATTTTTTTTTTTTTTTTTAAGTATAATTGGTGGAAGACTCGCTTGGTTGACAAACTGTTGGGATGTATTATTCCCAGCTTTATGTATTGGCTCCTACATGTAATCTGTTTTCTTTCTACCTAATATTCTCTGGAACAGATCCTCAACTTGCGTAAATTGTCATCGCTCAAGTGAAGCTAATGGGGCTATGAAAATGGACCCCAGTTGAGGATCTGGCCCTCCATTCTTTAAGGGCAGCTATCCCATGACTTTTCAACTACAAAATGGTTAAACTTAAGTCTAAGAATGGCTTGAGCTATTTTATTGATCAGCTTACTAACAACTTTAAGATTCTTTGGTGTATGTTTTTCTTTTCCAGATGAAATGTGGGAATTGTGGTGAGATTTCTGAAAAATGGCAATACCTGCGATTAATGGTAAGCTGCCGAACTGCAAGATGTGCATTAAAAACAAAGAACCCAAAAAACCCAGTGCATATTATGTAAAATTGACTTTGATGGGAATGGGGGATATGCTGTATAAAGCAGCCTTTGAATAATTATCTACATCGGGGTTGCTGTCAGACTTTATGTTCACAAAGTATTTTGAGATCCTTGAATGAAATGTGCTATAGGAATGGTTGGTGGAGGTGCTTATTATTTTAAGACTTTCTTGAAAAGCCTCCCCTCATTAAAGCCAGTAAGTTTCCACAGCCAAGAAAATGGATTTGAAGTGGTATTACAATAGGGTTTTGCCAGTAGTGCATTTCCTCTTTGCTAATGATAAAACAAGTTCTATGGAAGTTTAGATAATCTGGGGGGAGAGGGAAGGGGAATAATGATAATAAATTAACTTATGCAAGGTACTGGTGTTGTGCATGACAGAAATGCTATAAATATCACGATCTGACTGCCTCATGATGTTAATGAATTTAAATAGAGAAGTGTTATCCCCACTTTACAGATGGGGAAACTGAGGCAGAGAGGTGAAGTGATTTGCCCAAAGTAACACAGGAAGTCTGTGGTTTAGTTTGGAATTAGAACCTCAGACTCTCATCCTGAACCACAAGACCCTTCTTCTTCTATCCTTGCAGGCCCCGGTCCTGCAACTTGTTGCATGTAGGCACAACAGTGTGCAGGATCAGGGCTCTAATCATGCTGGTTGAAGATTAAATAAATATCCTCTGGAATGGCTAGAATGTGTCTGTATTGTCAAGACACATTCTATACATAATTTATTATTTAAAATTTAGTATATAATGTACATTATTCCTTGATAACCATAGTATTGTGAATTATAAATATTCTTTGTACTGAAAGAAACCTACCTTCCCCTTACAATATATAAAATCATGTTAGTTTGCCATTGTCCTTGTAAAAACTACTACAGAGGTTTTTAGTTGCTCAATCGGAACATGAAAAAATTGACACACAGTGATGGCTCCATTTGTAATTTTTTTAGGACAGTGCTCCTCTTAAGGGAGGCAGAGGGAGTGCCACTATGGTGCAGAAATGCAAGCTGTGCTCCAGAGAGAATTCCATTGGTAGGCTCTTTCACATGATTTAAGGGATGCTGTCAACTTGATTTTTTTTTTTAAACTAATTTACGAAAACATTCTAAAAGAGTATCTTTTAAATAATATGTCCTGAATTTCTGTTGTAAGTTGCTTTTTACCAGTGTTTATAAGGGTTTACTTTCTCCTACTTGCTGGTGCTTGTCTTAAAGCATCAATATGTTTGTCCTCATGTTTTGTGCATGAGACAGGAAATGCAACTGATCATCAACAAAAGAATGAGACTGACTACACATGCAAATGCAGAAAGTGTGTAAACACTAGAACAATAAAGGCAATTAATTTTTGCCAACTTTAATTTTAGTAATTGTAGGTGCTAAAACAATAGTATGTTCAAATTTTTCCAACAGAAACATGATTCTGAAGTTAATGGTGTCTCTCTTAAAATGTTTGCTTTTCTTCTATAAAGTTATTTGGAAACAAATTATTGTACTTTGTAGCATTACGTTTGAGTGTACACTTAAGATGTTAACCTTTTTGGAAAAAAATGGGATGCCAGTTATTTTTAAGAGAAGAATGAAAAGTAACAAGTAGCAAAGAGTTTCCTGGGCAATTTCTGTACTTGCTAGACATTTTTTCTTTCAGTTATCAAACTCTTTGTCTTTTTGTTATTAATGTAGGGATTCACAAAGCAGAGAAGAATGATGGTCCATCTAGTCAGTATCTGACTAGTTTGGGATGGTTCTTAAGGAAAGCCCCCCATAAAGTTCATAAATCAGTAGTATCTTACTATGGGAAGGAAAGTATTTTTTTCTGCCCTGAAGCTGGTGATCATCTACACCCTAACATGACTATTGACAGCCATTGCAACTCTGGCCTACTGTGTAATTCAGCTGTTCTTATTTGTAGGAGTGTTTAACCCTTTTTAGATTGTATTAATTTATTTGCCTCAATATTATCCTATAGCAGAGAGTTAAACAGATTGATTATCTATTACATTAATATATATTTCCATTTATCTTTTTAAAGCCTTTTAGCTTCATTGTGTGACGGCTCATACTTGTATTATGGGGGAAGGGTAAAAAGGAGCACCTGGCTCATCCTTTATTATATTTTCTGTGCCCTTTGCCTTCCCAACCAAAATAGTCCCATTCATTGTCTCTTAATCACTTAACTTTTTTCACAAAAATAAGGACTAATCCTGAGACCCTTATACTTGCACAAGTACACTTATTGACTTCAATGGAACTACTTTTAGGAGTAAGAGTTTCAAGATTGGGCCCCAAAAATCTAAAAGCCTGTCTGGTATTTGGAAAATTAATAGCATCCACACAAGTGTCTGTGTCAAGTGTTCATTTTCCTCTCAAGATATTAGAAACTAGTTTCATCCAAGGAGCTGCCAGCTGTTTGCATTGGCCTGGTTCTTGGGATGTTCCTACAAAGTTCTGCCCATTTCATAGCCATCCCAGATTAGATTTTTTTCCCCCTGGGATTGAGCTGTGATGTTGTAAAGCTATATCCATGTAAATACTGCAGTAACATGAAGGAAAAGAGAAATTGGTATTAAAAATGTGTCTGATATGAAAGGCATTTCCTGTGGAATAAATACAACAGTGATAAGCTAGTTAAAATATAGGAAGGTATTTACAAGGTCTGTGCTGCCCTATACAGTGACTATCCCCCAAATCTACATTTATGGGAGATAGATACAGGGCTGTCGCATCTTACGCGCATTTAACATGCGCGATTTCAACTTTACGCAGTCGGGGGAAAAAAAGAGAGAGAGAGAGAAAAACAACAGTTTTAATACTATACCTGTAGTGCGGGCGATTTCGCCCGCCATTGAACTCAATGGGGTTTTGGCTATACGCGGATTTCGCTTTACGTGCTAACCGTGGAACAGAACCCCCGCGTAAGATGAGACAGACCTGTACAAATAACGGCGTCCTGTCGGCTCAAGCCTGTAAGTAATTTGCACTCAACCCTCCCATTGACATTGGGAAATCTGTATGAGCAACAATTGTACAGTTGGAGCCTTAAAGCCATGTTACAAGAGTATGCATTGCTTTTTCTTCCTTAAGAGGAAAACAAAACAGCAAAACAGAAGATGAAATTCTTGGTAGCACTGGCAAAAAATGGGTCTTAGATTTTGATGGACTAACCAGGAATGTTGGCTGATTTTTGAATAAACAGTGTTTGGAAGGAGGGCTCTTGGGTTTGTGTTGAGGGCTGGAAAATTTGAAGTATTTTAATTCTACCCCCTTCTCTTTTAGATATCTTAAGAGACACAATCAAACCTTATAATGTAAGTTTATTTTCTCTATGATATTGCAGATGTAACTGAAATAAGCATCATTAATGTGGTGTTAGTTTATTACAAGGCTTCCCAATTTTTGCGATCATGTTCCTCCCAGAAGTACAGTGGAAAATACACTCAGGTATCGCCTGATAGAAACACACCGCAAATGGGATGCTGGATGCTCCAAAAGTGAAGCTGTGCATTTAGGAAAGTATATTTTAAATAATGTGGACAGCGGCAGCCAATTAATATCTTGCTTTGTCCCTTCTGCTTCCGACTCAAATATCAAATCATTTGTTTAAATATTTCACAGTCAACATCAGGCACTGGATTAGTCACATTCTAAGCAAATATGTAATAGTTTTACCCTGGTATCGGAGAGCCTACCTTTGAAGGGCTCAGACACTTCCCCTGACCAGTCTCTAAGTTTAAGAAATTCTGGTTAGTTATCAATCATGTAAAATAATTCAAATGTTTTGGTCCAGAGTTTGCTGCTTCTAAAAACTTTATTGAATTTTATGCCTAGACTAAAAGGTGGTTCCCTTTCATTAGATACAAACTAAATGCTATTCTGACTCAATCCTAGGCTGAAGACAGTGAGAAGTTTAAGACAATAGTGGAGTTTGAGTGCCGAGGTCTTGAGCCAGTTGACTTTCAACCACAGGCAAGTTCTTATTAATGATTTATTTGACAGCTCTTAGGTGTCTTTCTGCTGAAGTCTACATTGATGTAGCACACACTCTTTTGAGAATTGCACTGCTCATTTTGGACAACCTGTGACTCTCCAATAGTCTCCCCTCTCTGCAGTTGTCTTTCTTACCTCATCCTACCCACCTAATTAAAGTTACTTACCCTTTGGAGCTGTGCCCCCTGAAGTACCTTGTAAGCACTGCAGATTTGAATTAATTTGGTGGATCTTTAGAGTAGGGCAACAGGAGGAAGAGAGGAGTCCTAAAGCAGTCACATCTTGGATTGCCTAATTAGGGGTCACTGATGGGAAGAAGTAGTCTGGGTGGGCTACTGTACAAGGTATAGAGAGTTAACAAGCCTGATTTTTGGACACTGATCAGTATTTGACTGCTGTGCTCAACCAAACTCTGAAGTTCATCCATCTCTACAAACGTAGACGTGTATCCACAACAAAATGAGACTGAAAGGCAGAGCAAGACTTGCTGAAGGCATCAATAGTCTCTGATGCAAAATACAGCTGAAGATACTGAGTTAAAGGGTCTCTGAGCTGTAAACTGAGACAGCTAAGAGAGTTTCAGAGGGGATAGCTATGGATTTTGCTTGGAGGTAGTGAGACTTGGGCCTGGTCTACACTAACCCCCCAATTCGAACTAAGGTGCGCAACTTCAGCTATGTGAATAACATAGCTGAAGTCGACGTACCTTAGTTCGAACTTACCGCGGTCCAGACGCGGCAGGCAGGCTCCCCCGTCGACTCCGCGTACTCCTCGCACCGAGCAGGATTACCGGAGTCGACGGGGAGCACTTCTGGGTTCGATTTATCGCATCCAGACAAGACGCGATAAATCGAACCCAGAAGTTCGATTGCCTGCCGCCGAACCAGCGCGTAAGTATAGACAAGCCCTTAGTGACTGGGTTGTTTGGTCCAACTGTGAGTTTGTTTGGCTGTTTGTTCTCTGTGTACAGGCTGTGTAGCTGGGCCATGGGCCCCTGAGTAAGTAGTTGGATCAGGTCTGTTTCATGTCTTGGTGAAGCGGTGTGGTTTTGACCCTTGGAACATTGATCAGCCCTGTTACTTGAAGTCTGAATGGTTAATTGCTCCCTGATGGGGAGGGGCCAAGCTGAGCTAAACAGAGAGATTTGGGTAATGAGAGTCACTTGCTAGCAATATTGAGAGCCACAAACTAAGGCAACTGACAGAGTTTCAGAGGGAGCTGGGGGGGTGGGAGAGAGCTTTCCTTCCGGGTTCAGCTCTGTGCAATTTCAAGACAGCCAGTGATATAACAGTGGTGGTGACCTACAACAGATATGCCATGTTTTCTTTCCTGCCTGAAGCCAGAAGGGACTTGCTGTGCACAAAGTGCAAGTTGATGGCTATATTGGAAGAAAAGATTCTTGAACTGGAAGGGGAAGTGGAGCTGCTACTGAGAATCTAAGAAGCTGATGAATTTCTAGACAGAGAGATTTGGGAAATATGAGTACCCCAGGTTCAAGGAAGAAAGAAGCTGACCACCAAGGAATTGGAGAAAAGTTGGAAAAGAGGCGTGGCAGCTCATAAGAGGCAAGGTGGCCATTCTACAAGGCTGGACACAGATGAGGATGGGCAGGCTGTGGCCACCACAGAGAAGTGGACTGGGAGGAATTCCACACAACTACAAGTTTCCAATCACGAGCAGGTCCTCAATATGGACACTGTGGAAGGCAACTCTGAAGATCCACCTGGTCTAAAGGAACAGAGAGATGGACAGGGCATGCCTGTGGATGGCAGCTCAAGACACCCTTGCAAGAAAATTAAGCCTGCTCACAAAGAGGTCTCTAACCCCCCAAGCAAGACAGATGATCCTTCTTGGGGATTCAGTACTCCGAAGACTAGAAAGAACATTCTGCAAGGGACAGACAGCAGGACAGAATGCTGTTTTCCCGGAACCAAGACACAAGATGTCATTCTTCTGAAATCAACAGGCAAAGATCCACTGATGGTTCAATGTAAATACTAATGACCCTGTGCCATGGGTGTCTCTTTGATAATAGATAACTTCAGGGAACTTGGAAGTATGCTGAAGAAAAAGAATGTCCAAGAGATCTTCTTAGAGATTGTTCCTGTCCCACGAGTGAAGGGAGACAGAAGGCAGAAGATTCTGGAAGAGAACTGTTGGCTAGTTAAGTGTGGAGGGTTTTGAGTTTGTGTAACATTGGTCCATGTTCTATGGGGAGAGGGTGCTCTATGGTTTGGACACCTCAGTAGATGTGTAACCAGACTTTTCCAACACAAGCTGGCTAGAGTAGTGAGGAGGGCATTAAACTAATAAATTGGGAGGGTAAAAAGAGGGAAGATCGCATTCATTTAGTACAAAATCGAGATGTTGAGAACAAAATCAAGGAACCAAAAGACATGAAGAAAATTTTTTACTTGCCTGTACAACAATACTAGGAGCTTGAGTAACAAACAAGAAGAATTTGAATTGCTCATTTATGAGTATAAATTTGATCTAGTATTACTGAAAGCTGATGGGATGAACTGCATGATTGGAATGTTAAAATCAATTATTATGAAGACTTATGTAGGAAGGACTGAGTGGCCAAAGGGAAGGATTCATAGATTCTAGGACTGGAAGGACCTCGAGAGGTCATCGAGTCCAGTCCCCTGCCCGCATGGCAGGACCAAATACTGTCTAGACCATCCCTGATAGACATTTATCTAACCTACTCTTAAAGGTTAGATAGATAGGAGGAGTGGCACTCTGTCAAAAATGGCATTACCTGTTTCCAAGTCACTGGCAACCTGTGGGAAAATTATCTTGAATGCTTATGGAGCAGTGTCCTAACAGATAAAGCACAAGATGGGCTATTAGTTGGAGTCTGCTACAGACCACCAAATCACAGGATGACCAGCTTCTTAAGCACCTATCTGTAATGTGAAGGAAGAAACGCTGTGTGAGCACAGGGACTTCAGTTTGAGTGACATTCTGGAGGTCTCATGCTGCTAGTATGAAAACATCCTTGGAATTTCATTTATATTATAGATAGTTTTCCTAACTCAAAGTATTGTTCCCAACATAGGAGTTTTATATTGGACCTCGTCTTGACAGATAAAGAGGTAACTGGTACAGGTGATCATGACTTGATCACATTTATAATGTGCAAACAGAATAAAGTCCAAATCAGTGATAGATAAATACTTGGTTCTTTAAAAGGGTTAACGTCACAAAGCTGAAAACAATTGAGTCACACTGGCTGGGAGGAAGAACTTAATCAGCAAAATGTGAATGATAATTGGGAATGGTTTAGGAACACTTTTACTAGATGCCCAAAAAGCCACAATACCACAATTGAGGAAGACAGCCATACTGCTTAAAAAACTGACCTGGTTTAGAAGGGAAGTAAAGGCAACCATAGAAAAATAATAATATTTAACAAATGGAAGAAAGAGGAAGTTGATAGTAACTAATATAAATCAAAAGCTAGGAATTGTAGACAATTGATAAGAGATGCAAAGTGACACAAGGAGAAAATTGTTGTTAGGAGTTAAGGACAATAAGGAGTTTAAGTATATCAGGGACAAAAAGAATACTAACAAAAGTATTGGTCCCTTACTAGATGGAAATGGTAGAATTATAAGTACTAATGCATAAAAGACACAAGTGTTCAATAAATATTTCTGTTCTGTATTTGGAGGGGAAAACAGATGATGTAATATATGTTGATAACTCTTTCCATTCCACTAGTATCTCGGGAGGATGTGAAATAACAGCTACTAAAGTCAGACCTTTTAAAACAGCAGATCCAGATAATGTGACTCCAAGAGTTTTAAAAGAGCTGGCTAAGGCACTTGTGGGCTGGTTAATGTTGATTTTTTTCAATAAGTCTTGGAACACTGGGCAAGATCCAGAAGACTGGAAGAAAGCTTAATGTTGTACCAATATTTAAAAAGGGTAACTAGAATGATCTGAGTAATTGTAGGCCTGTCAGTCTGACATGGTTCCTGGGTAAGCTAATGGAGCAGCTGATACAGGACTTTATTAATAAAGAATTAAAGAAGGGTAACATAACTAATGGCAATTTGAGTTTATGGAAAATAGATCCTGTCAAACTAACTTGTAATCTCATTATAAAAACAAGTTTGGTTATAATGGTACTAGTGTTGATGCAATATACTTAGACTCCTGTAAGGTGTTTGACTTGGTACCCCACATTTTGAGAACTAGAAGAATAGAAAAGTAACATGGCACATATTAAATGGATTAAAAACTAGCTAACTGATAGGTCTCACAAGGTAACTGTAAATGGGGAATCATGATTGAGCAGGTGTTTCTAGTGGAGTACCATAGCAATCGGTTCTTGGCCCTATGCTATTTAACATTTTTCAGTGACCTAGAAGAAGAAAAAATCATCACTGATAAAGTTTGCAAATGACCCAAAAATGGTGGGGGGAAGGAAGGTAAATAATGAAAAAGACAGGTCACTGATACAGAGTGATTTGGATCACTTGGTAAACTGGGCACAAGCAAACAATATGCATTTTAATATGGCTAAATGTTATATGCCTAAGAACGCAGAATGTAGACCATATTTACAGGATGGGGGACTCTATCTTGGGAAGCAGTGATTCTGAAAAAGATTTGGGGATCATGGTGGATAATCAGCTGTGGTCAAAAAGTCTAATGCGTTCTTTGAATGCATAAAAGGGGAATCTCAAGTAGATGTAGAGAGGTTATTTTACCACTATTTTTGGCACTGATGCAAGCACTGCTGGAATATTGTGGCCAGTTCTGGTGTCCGTAGTTCAAGAAGGATGTTGATAAATTGGAGAGGGTTCAGAAAAGAGACACAGGAATGAATAAAAGATTGGGAAACATGCCTTATAATTATAGACTCCAAGAGCTCAATCTATTTATCTTAACCTTCACTTTACGGGGTGACTTGATCTATAACTACCTACATGGGGAATAAATATTTGATAATGGGCTCTTCAATCTAGCAGAGAAAGGTATAACACAATCCAAAGGCTGGAAGTTGAAGCTAGATAAATTCAGAGCGGAAACAAAACTTACATTTTTAAGTGACGGTAATTAACCGTTGGAACAATTTACAAAGGGTTGTGGTGGATTTTTCTCTCACTGATCACTTTAAAATAACAATTATATTATTTTCCAAAATATATGCTCTAGGAATTATTTTGGGGAAGTTCAATAGTTTGTATTATACAGGAGGTCAAAGTAGATGATCATAATAGTCCCTTCAGGCCTTGGAATCCACAGTTCTCCTTCTGCTGTCAGCTGTTGGTTTCTTGTGTCTGGTCATGATCCACGTAAGCTAACTCCCTGCTATATTTAACCTATTATTCCAGTAGGATTAGGAGTAAATTGCGTAGACTGACAAATAAAAACCTGTGCTTTATCCTTCCTGCAGACTGCAGTGACGTGCTACATTTATTATTGTTCTGGCTCATTTTGTAAGAAGTGGGAGGCTATTGATTTCAATCAATACCAACAGAGGGGAGGCTATAATAACTCTTAACCTAATAGTCTCAAAGTTAAGTCTGAAGCAGTGTGTATGAAGGATAGTCCTGACTAGATATTTCATTACATTATGATGCTTCAATAAATAAATCAAGAGACTTACACTTGTTCCTTACAAATCCAACAGTTATTTTACATTCAACTCTCTCATATACAGTTGAAGCCAGCCTGGCTTCTCCAGATCAAGTTTCAGTTCTGTCAGAAACAGCGATGGAATAGAATAGGTCATAAGAATGTGAAATTAATAAATATAGTTAAAACTTAGCTGAAGTTAATGAGAATTATTATTTCCATTGATATCTGTCTGTCTCCCCATAAAATCACCAGAATTCTCACTGCATTCTTAAAGGGGAAAATACCCTCTAGGTCCCTCCATGACGAAAAGAAAATCTTTCCCCTTGGAAAATCCCAGGGATGTTTTTGTTTTTGTTTTTTACCAAGTGGGGAAAAATCTAATTAAGATGCTTGTACATTTCTTGCTTGGTAAGAAGTCTCTTAGTTTTAGCTTTTAATTATGCTTTTCATTTAAGGTTCCTGAGCTGATGTAGCTATCAAAAATGCCAATATATGTCTCTTTACCTGTATTAGTTCTGTATGGTCTCCTTCTCCCCCGCACCACAGAAGTATTATCCTTCAGCTGAAAAATAGATGCATCTTTACAAAGTTTCTTTTCATCCAACTGTAGCTCCCTTGCTTTGTGGCAGATATGACACTTTATAGTGATAAGCAGAATAACTGCATGATGATCCACTATGTTGGAAAGTTGGTTGATAAGAATTTCTGTTTTGTTCTAAGCTTCAGCTACTGTGCATCCGAAGAAGTGGGCTGTAGTCCACGAAAGCTTATGCTCTAATAAATTTGTTAGTCTCTAAGGTGCCACAAGTCCTCCTGTTCTTCTTTTTGTTGCTCCTTAGCCAGTCAGCAGAGGGCAGACAAGTCACTTCATGACTCAGCTCCATTTATCAGAGATTAAATTAGAGTATCAACTGTGATGCCACAAGCTGTAAGAATGAAAGTCCTTACTCCTGAGAACAGTCTGTGCCAAAACATTAAAAATTCTGCACACAATATTTTAAAATTCTGCAAGTTTGATTTGTCAATAAATAAATGCAGAGGCTCCAGCACGGCAGGGGGGAGGACAGGCCACTGGCTGCACGACGGAGGGAGATCACCCTGCAGTTCCCCCACCCCGGGGGCACGGACTCAGTGGTGAGGTTGCACCTGACCCTAACACAGCACAAGGCATGGGTCTGCCCCAGAAACACCTTGGGGCCCTGCCCCTCTGCACCAGGTGTGGGGCAGGCAGGAGCCAAGTGTGGAGGGGCTCAGTGTGGAGGGATCTTGGTGTGGGGTGAGAGGATTCTGTGTGGGACAATCTGGGTACAGGCAGCTTGGGGAGGGGGGGTCTGGGGGGGGGGAATCTGGATGCACAGAGGCTTGTTGGGGGGGGGGGGGAGGTTCCAGGTACAGGGGTAATGAGACTCTGCAGGGGCTTCCAGGTGAAGGTGGTTGGGGTTCAGCAGAGGGTCTGGGTGTGGAGGTCTCAGCAGAGGGGTCTGGGTGCTGGGGGAGTGAGGCTTGGTGGCCTGAGGGCCTGCATGCAGCTAGTTGGAGGTCAGTGGCATGGGGGTCTAGATGTGGGGGCTTGGGGTGGTGGGGCTCTTCAGAATGGGGATTTGAGTGCAGGGAGCTCAGTGGGAGTTTGGTCTGGGCACAGGGGTGGGGGTCTGGGTGCAGGGGGGCTCCAGATGCAAGGGTTGAGGTTTGGTGGGGTTTTGGTATGGACGGCTAGGGGGGTTCTGGATGTACTGGGTGAGGCTTGGCAGGGGTGTCTGGGTATGGGAGGTACGGATGAATGGGGGAGCAGCTCCCTGGATAGTGACCTCTCCCCCCCACAGCTGAGAAGCAATGGGGGCAAGAAGCAGGGGAGGATTCTGAGCTTCCTGCACCTGGGGGAGGTTCCTGGGGGTGAGTCTGACACAGTCCCAGGCACTGCTTGCAGGGGAAGAGAAAGTGCCATCCTCTCCTGCCTCCAGCAGTCTGGACTAGCAGCTGATCCCAGCTCAGGGTAGGAGCCACTGGCTGAGGAATCCCCAGTCCTGTGGTGATTTCTCTCTCCACCAGCTGCTCCGTGTGCCTTAAATGATGTACTCCCACTGCAAGGGAGTGGTGCATGACTGCTCTTACAGCTTCCCTGTCAGTAAGTCATTTTTCTGCAGGGATGCGAAGAAATCTGCGGGGGACATGAATTCTGTGCATGCAGTGGCGCAGAATTCCCCCAGGAGTAAGTTCTGCTGGAATTACAACAGCCTGTCACATGATTTAATGTTCCATGGATCTCTGTTAAATGTGTACTGGGTGATGTTGGCTCTGTATCCCTTCCACTTCCATTCTTTGCTCTGTTGCAGTTCTGTATTGTGGCTGGTGGAGATGCATCTTCTCTTGTACTGCTGTCTCCTCCCCCCCACATGGGTTTGTGATTCTGCTTGTGTAAATGCTGCGTACAACGTTTGATCTAAATGCACCACTCCCATTGACATTTGTCATGCATTGTGGGATGTGTATGACTGAATTCTTAATTTTCACAGATTCCCAAAACATTTCAAAGTTTATGGCCAGAGAGCACATTCCTTGTACACTCAAACTTCTCATGGAAGCTAGTGGGGATTTATGTCTACAAGGAGCAGGTCCGATATGCGTTTCAGTTTGCAAAACCGGGAAAGAGTTCTCCTTATACCATAGACAGTTGTTTGTTTAAACATAAACATAAAAATAAAAAGAATCCAAGTAGCTCACAGGAAGGCTTCTTACGTTGTCCATCTTTTAATTTGTGTCATTGTTCTTAAATTCTTGAGGAATTTTGTTGACCAACAAAACATTAATCTGTAATTTAAATACCAATATTTTTTTTAACCCCAACTGTACCTTCTTTGGAAATGCATCCATTGCTTTATGTGCTGGATCCCAGAGTTGCAGCCACCTTGGCTGATCTCTCTATTCCCCAGTAATTTCCTTTAGTGTCATTGTTTGGGGAGGCGGGGATGGTGAGACTGGATGAGTGAAGCATTGTCACTGCTCATGCGTGCACCCATGGAGACTTAAGTGTAGTTATCTCAGGTCAGTTTCTGCTAGAAAGGATAGGTTACGTAGACAAAGAATTGTGCAGATCTCACTCTGAAATTGTGCTGCTTGGGTGGAATCTAATCTAGTTACAATTAAAATCTAGTTGATTCTCCTCCTTGTGGGAGTTTGCTTGACTCCTCTGTAGCTAAATGAACTACACAGGATGATGATAGTTACAAACACTTGGCCCCTTTTGCCAGAGATGTCTGGGTTCTCATGCTGTTTAAACCAAAACTGAAGACTTGTCTTTTTTCCTCTCTTGCTTTCCATTGTTAGCTTGCTATTAAACTGGAGTACACTGTTTCTAAAATGCCTTGAAGTATCTTGGTGACAATTTTAATCTAATGCATTCACTGCTAACAGACGTACTGGATACGCTTAGAAACCTGTCATGCCATAGAGATTTTTTGGGGAAAAAACAAGTTAGAAAAAATAATTTGCAGGAAAAACAGGTGTGTTCTGGAAAACTGATGTTTCCTTGCTTTACAATATTACTTGTATAATTTTAGTAATGTTCCTATAGCTTCCGGATACAACCGAACTCTACATCCATTGTATCCTTTGGAATTGAACATATGTAAAAATAAAACTTGGGCATGAACAGTCAGGCTTAAACTCTCCTTGATTATTAAACAGAGGGTCATACCCTGTATTGAAACCATAGGTCACATAATAATTTGGTCACTCTTTATACCTACTTGTAAGACCGCTAGCTCCACTAAAATAAATACTTGTACTGGATAACCTTGTTTGTTGAACTATTTTAAACATATTTAAGACTTATTACAACTCATACCTAAGTTTATTTTAATTCTTGCTTTTGTAGGCTGGGTTTGCTGCGGAAGGTGCAGAGTCTGGCACACCTTTTAATGAAATAAACTTGCTGGAAAAGGTACAACTTATTTTTCCTCAGTATCCCTATCCCCAGAAATAGCAATCACCCATTTAAAAGTCTGGCTTTATGTGCTTTAAAGTGGCATGCATGCACAAATCTTAAGTGGAGGAGGAAACAACCTTCAACCATGAGTGCTCAGCATTAGTGTGTACCTCAGGGTGCTTATTTGGAAGTGTCTAGGATACACATCTTCAGTATTTTGAATAGTCATGGTATAATTGCAGCTTGCTCTTGAAAAAATGTTGGCGGGACACCCAAATCATGGTCTCTTGATCAAGTGGCAGATTTTTATGGGGGCACTGGTTTTCTCTTGCTCTAAAACTATTGGGGCAACTCCTGAGAACTCTTCCAGGTGTTGAATAGTGATGTGCAGTCTGCTTTGAAGCTCAGCATAAGACTCTTTGTGCCTGCGTACACAGAGACTTAGGGCACAGCAGGCTGGGTGTGAACCACAGCACAGTAGCCAGGCATGCACATCCTGCTACTGCACACTAAAAATTCCATAGTGCATTTTGACCTATTGCTGTTCCATGTAGACAAGCCCATAGATGCTCCAAATCTTCATTGGCCGTGAGCAAATATCTCAGGCTCAGTTCCTGTCTTTGGTATTCCACATGACGGGAAGATTGGCTCTGACTCATGAGAATAGGTAGTGTAAATAATCCTTTCACGCACCATGGTTGCTAGCGTGTCTGTTACTGGCTACAGTCTTCAGATACAGAAAATCTGATTCCTTAAGCTAAAACTACTAAGAAGCTTGAAGCTAATTTAATTTGTTTGATGTTCACTTCTGTTGGACATAGAACTGGACAGGTTAAGGGCATAAACCCTTCCTGCAGACAGTGTAGAACCCAAATTCGGAATGCTGATAAGGTTAATTGATATTCCAATTTGTGATTTTTAAATACTACCCCATTCTGTTTTGTATTAATGCTGTAAAATTTGAATTCCTACAGGACTGGAATGACTATGATGAAAAAATAAAGGAGTCTGTTGGAATCTATGAAGTTATCCATAAGTTTCTAAAATGCTAAAACTGCTTTTAATAAAATGACACCTTGGCCAAGTAATGGGCTGTAGTCATTATAGAAGTTCCTCTGGAGTGACTTTCTGTATGGCTGTACTTCAACAATCAAATATAATATCAGCTGAGTTGTACTTGCTGTCCCAAGACTGACTAATAAAGTCATTTTCCACCAGTCTGATTGGTTGTGTTCAAGTAATTCACTCAGATGAAACTCAGTACAGCCAAACCTAATATTGGAAGGCCTTGCTGTATTTCTTGACTAACACATTGGCCCTTTGGAGACAGATTTAACAACATATACTAAATAGTCATTGGCCTCAGGGTTAAAGACAACATGGAAGGATTTATCATTGGCAAAATACCCTATTATATAAATAACTTTCAGTCTTGATCTTCGTCATTGGCACATTAGGTAATTGCAGGTGTTAGGGCTTGAAGCCAGAAGTACATCCTTGTAATAGTTTCCTGCTAGTTCAAGTAAACCTGCTGTTACCATTTCCTGCCAACTGACTTGTATTTTAAATGCTAAGTGACAACTTAGTTAACGTTTTAGCTTAAAGTTTGTATTTGTTTACATTTATGTATAACTGTCTTCTGAAAACCAAATGATCTTTACACAGTCATCAATTTTTTACCCCACTCCGTATGCAAATATTTTCCCTCTTGAATAGTTGACATCTTCATTTAAAGGAAACAGCCAAGTACTTCAGAGGTTTTGAATTTATTAATACCTTCCCCCACCCCTAAAAACCCCTAGTCTTTCCCTATCTGTTCTGTAAGGTTTTTTCCCCAAACCCAAATGTACTCTTCAGCCCCAGGAAATCATCATTCACCAAAGTCTCAACAGCAAAGTAAGTGCAGCACATCTAGTGTCCTGCCTTCTAGCAGCAGCCTGCAGAGGGATAAAAAGCCCTGCTACATATTGATAGATAGGAGTCTGGAGAGGCCTGTGGTTTAGGGTTGCTTCACCCTGGTAACTGTGATTCATTTTATACATAAGTTATAGCATCTTGTGTTCACTAGTTGCACTCATACTGTATCACTTTCTGATAAAGCAAAGAACTGGGGGAAACTATATGACACAAAGAAAAACTGAAGGCAACTAAACTTCTGGTCCTATGAATCTTATCAGTGACATCCTAGCACCATGCACTTAGAATATACCGTCTACCAACATGTTATGTTTTGGTACTGTTCACACAGCTGTGAAATGGACACTTTTAGTGCTATTTTGAAAAGCTGGCAGCAGAGGAAGGAACCACTGCTATTCAACAGGGAAGAGAATTGTCTTTTGCGCTTTCAAAATAGACGGGATGGGGTTGAGGCATAGAGATACTTTCCCTCTCAGAGCAGCCACCAACTTTTTTTTTTTTGAGATGGGTAAGCGTGTTTTTAATAGAGATGCTAATGCAAAAGATAGAGCCCCAAAGCAAGGACCAGTGACAGTACTCAACAATTGAAGGGAGGGGGCACTCCTGGAGAGCAAACGTTCTTATGTCTTTTGTATGAATTCTGCTGCATTGGGTGTCACATCAGATTTTTGGCATCAAATTAATGTGACTCTAGAGTTACAAGATCTGGACTAAATCTAGCAGATGCTGCTGCTGTCCTTCAGGAAATTCTACTGTGCTTGTTGGAAAGCTCCTTGAACCTCTCCCACCTCAAGCCCAATGCCTTCATTTCAGAGACATCTTAAATCTGCAAATACTAGGGCTTGGTCTACACTAAACCCCCAAATCGAACTAAGGTACGCAACTTCAGCTACGTGAATAACGTAGCTGAAGTCGACGTACCTTAGTTCGAACTTACCGCGGTCCAGACGCGGCAGGCAGGCTTCCCCGTCGACTCCGCGTACTCCTCGCGGCGAGCAGGATTACCGGAGTCGACGGGGAGCACTTCTGAGTTCGATTTATCGCGTCCAGACAAGACGCGATAAATCGAACCCAGAAGTTCGATTGCCTGCCGCCGAACCAGCGCGTAAGTATAGACAAGCCCTAAGACATCCCTGCCACTTGCCTTGGCAAATAGGCTGAAAGGTTCCAACAGATACTCGTGGTGCCATCAAGAAGTCTGGAGAGTTCTAGAGGAGGTAGGAAATAGTCATTAAGGAGAATGGCTGATGGTGATTCCTTCTCCACCATAGGAGAGAGATATTTGGGAAAGAAAAGCAGCACTAGCCTATGGAGAAGTTAATGAGAAATGATTTTTCAGTATTAAAGATACAGGCTTATGCAAGGGAACACAAAACAGATTATAGGGCAGATGTACAAACAGAAATAATTGACACTTTATAAATTAAGTTTATCTAAAAAGTATATGCATTTGACTGTATTCCTCTATCAGCCTTTGTATGCTTATTTTAAAAGTGTAAACTCTTCACACCAGGAACTCTCAAATCCCTAATCCTGAGATACTACTAAAACATTTCTTCAACCATGTCATAGGTAGCTTTATTTAAACATTATTGTCCAACCAATTTCTTAACAGTTTGAAGATTTAACACATGATTACAGTTGTTGGTATTGTTAAAGTCTCACGCTTTCATTTAAACCAATCATTATATTGGAAATGCTTCCAATAGAAGAGGCAGTTAGTTTGACACTGATTCAAATTTAACAAGAAAAATAAAGATGACTGATCTAGTAAGTGAGCATATCACATGTGTAGGATTTACAACTGAATACAACTTTTGTAGATGTTACAACATTGTTCAAATGTAGTTTCTCGTTCCCAATGTAAACATGAACACTCATAGATCTTAAGCTCAAGTTTAATCAGTACACTACTAAAGTTCCTTTCTAGAAATTAATATTTAATGCCTCTGTTATATTTTAAGAACATTTTATATTCCATTATCTAACAGTTCAGAATATCAGAATTAAGTATTTCCTGAATATCGCATGCAGGCGCTTGCACTTAATTTCTTTATATGGCTAAGATTTTCAAAAGGTGCTTAACTCCCATGGAAATTCAGTGCAAGTTGGTCACTTAATTCTTATAGACTCCTTTGAAAATCCCAGTCAAAATGCTTAGTAAATTAGCACTAGCAACATTCTTCCACATTCAGCCACACATGATCAGAAGTGATCTTGATCCAAACATTTTATATTGTGCATTAAAAAAAAGTATCCCAGCCCTGTTGTGCCTACCTACTGATATGCTTACCTTCTAAAACATGAAAAATATCTTCCAGTGACTTATGCACACACTGGACGAATTCGTGTACATTCCTGGCTGGGTAAGAAGAGGCACTGCAGCCAATCCAATCATCATGCACTCCATAGGCTACACCAAAGCCATCCGGCACCACTGGAGCAAATCCTCCCATATTCACAGCTGGGCTGCTCAATGTGCTTGTGGACAGAATGTTGTGATTCAGCTGAGCGTAGGTTTGGTCCTGGTAGATGTCAGGTAATGGGATACCTTTTGATGCTGCCAAATAACGCAAACTGAACAAATGCCGGTCAAATCCTTGACCTGTTAAAATAAGAACATAAGAATGACCATGATGGATCAGACTAATGGTTCACTTAGGCAAACTGCTAATGCCAGAGGATACAGAGGGAATGAACAAAACAAATCAATTATCAAGTGATCCATCCCTTGTCATCCAGTCCCTGCTTCTGGCAGTCAGAGGGTTAGGGACACCCAGAGCATGGGGTTGTGTCCCTAACCATCTTGGCTAAATAGCCAATGATGGACCCATCATCCATGAACTTACCTAATTCTTTTTTGAACCCAGTTATACTTTTAGCCTTCACAACATCCCAGGCAATGAATTTCGCAGGTCAACTGTGCGTTGTGTGAAGAAATACTTCCTTATATTTGTTTTTAAACCTGCTGCCTCTTAATTTCATTGGGTGACCCCCTGGTTTGTGTGTTATGTGGAGGGGTAAATAATGCTTCCCTTTTCACTTTCTCCACACCATCCATGATTTTATAGACCTCTATCATATCCCCCCTTAGTCATCTCTTTTCGAAAGCTGAAGGGTCCCATTCTTTTTAATCTCCGCTCATATGGAAGTTGTTCCATATCCCTAATCATTTTTGTTGCCTTTCTTGGTACCCTTTCCAATTCTAATATATCTTTTGAGATGAGGTGACCAGAACTGCACTCAGTAGTCAAGGTATGGGCATACCATGGATTTATATAGTGGCATTAAAATACAAAACACTACAGAAAACCACTGCTTTTCTACAGAAAATACACCTCTACCTTGATATAACACTGTCCTCGGGAGCCACAAAAACGTACCGCATTATAGGTGAAACTGCGTTATATTGAACTTGCTTTGATCCACCAGAGTGCGTAGCCCCACACCCCCCGGACCAATGCTTTACCGCGTTATATCCGAATTCGTGTTATATCGAGGTAGAGGTGTAGTTATTTAACACACTAAATATCACACCTCTTCAAAGCCACAAAACTTACAAGAGTTTTTTCTGTAGCAGCTTTCTTACAAGTTATGGTAATATGCTTTACAGAAGGAAATTGCAATGCATTTTTAGCACATCCATTCTCTGGGACAGGAACTCTATTTTACTGATTTAGCTAGCAACTACTATAATGGGGCCATGATCTCTGGGACATCTAGGCACTACTGCAATATTAATAAAAAGGGTTTTTAACAGTAGTTAAGAAGTTAAATGGAGAAGATCAAAAGATGAGGTTTGAAAAAGGAATAAATGTTTTCATATTACTTTAAAAGAGAGTCTGAGATAGCATGTTCCAAATGGCAGGAACTACAGAGGAAAAGGCTACTGAACCAACAGTAAAGAGATTACAATAAAATTGGACAAGGCCCTGTAGGCTACATTTTACTAAAAATCTAGAAGAAGTTAGCAAGCTCTAATTCTGATTTATTTTAAAATGCAATAGGGTCAGGTCAGATAGAGCCACTTGGGAAAATTTATCACTGGTGCAGCAGAAGGAACCAAGACCAGTTTGCACAGTGGCCTCAGTACCACCTGCAGGCAGATACATGAAGCAACCCAAAATCCTGCTTTTGTTGCACTCTCTAGGGCATTAGCCAGTTAGCTGCCACATGTGGGCTAGTATAACAGTAATTTATCTACAGGATAGGAAAAATCTTGATGTGCGTGGGTCTGAAGCAAATAAGGGGAACTCAAAGACACTCCCTTCTTAAGAAGAATGTCACAAGAACAATATGT